AAAAAAAAAGAAGAAAAAAAAAAAAACTCCCAAAAACCCCCCCCCCCACTCCCCCAAAAAAAAAAAAATCCAAACCCAAATCTAGGATATCCATGACTGCCTGAGATTGTTTTTTTCATCCTAATTAATTTTTCGTTAGTGCCTCATTCTTACCCACCATTCAGGTAAAAAGAAACAACTTCTTCCCAAATGAGTTGATCTCTTGAGAGGGTATTGCTGGAGTGGTGCCAGTGCCGAAGGCCTGTTTAACAAGGGCCTCTATCAATACAATTTATTCTTCCAAGGACATATTGTCAGACCAGTTTGAGAGCTGCCCAAGAGGATACAAAACCTTCATTTATGGTACTGAATTTTCCTTTGCTCTCAGGGATCTCTTCTCTCCAATTAACTGTCATTATGCTGCTGCTCAGGTCTCATTACCTTTCTGCAATTCTTATTAGTCCTTATCATTTGATTGAAGTCACATGTTCTCCATGTGCTGTCACTGCCAATCGAACAATTTATCCGTTCACTCCTTACAAGAGAAGCTCCATCCTGCTCACTCCACACAAAATGTCTTCACGCCTAGTCTCTCTGCACTCTCTCCCGGGCTGAAGAGGCCTCTGCAGACTCATACCTGGTGTTTGAACCTCCACTGAAACCACCAGCCGCAGAAGTCCAGGACCACAGCCTGCTGTGAGGTGCATGTTGGTGTCACCCATACCTCTTTTTCCCAAGCTCACTCCAAGTTGCAGCCATAGAGGAAAGGTTTTTTCTGAAGGTTTCCATTTGTTCGGTCTTCCTCGTCTTGTGCATCTTCAGTAGCGGGAGCTGTGTACCTGGGGTAGCGCAGGGCCTCCCCTAACCCGGCTTTGCTACCCTCCCCCTACCAACACCTCTGTTTCCACACCCCGTCCTACCTCAGCGTAGCCACTGCCGTGCAAGATTGCAGGATGGAGGTTCAGGAAGTAAATGTTGTAAATAAACCAAAGCCAGGGAGCTTAAAAGTTGCCACACTTAATTTCTAGAGCACAAACCTTTAAAAATAGTTCGGTGTTAGATGTTGTCAGATCTATGCAATTTGAAAGAGAAGTAAAACCCGTCCTTCATTGAAAAGCAAGGCTGTGTAAAAATTTGACGTGACATTTTTGTTTCTGAATAGTTCATTTGTTTGGAAAGCTGAATGATATTTTTTAAACAAAAAAGGGAGGAAAGAATAAAAGGAATGTAACTTTACCGTGCAGGTCCTTTTGTAAGCAGGTCAGGATATCCCTGGACAAAATTGTTCACAAGATGAGGGGTAAAAACCAGCCAACTTTTTGCAGTAATATTTTGGGTATTTATGGTGCCACTTGGAGACCAAATAAGCATCACGGACACTCCGCTGACAAAGGAGGTATTTCCTGAGGCACGTGTTAGATGGAGTGCCTCATGACGGCCTCAGCTATTTATCGCGGTTTGCATTCCTTGCGCGGCAGAGCTCCCGCGGCCTTTCCCTAGGCGACCGCCTGGGCGGAGGGGTTGGCTTCACGGCCTGAAGCGGGGTGGGGGGTGTGTGCCGAGGCACGGCCTTCCTCCGGGGTTCCGAGGCGCCCGAGCGGCGAGTGCT